ACTCCATGAGGTTGGCAGTGGGCCTATGGGCTATGGTTTTAGGATTAAATATAATCCAAACCAGGTTATGTGCTAACTCACAACAAGGTGTACAGGAGGGGCAAAAATCAACTTGTGCTGCTCTCACTGACGCTGGAAGTATGTGACGACCAGCCTTAGAAACTGGGGGAATAACACACATTTCCCTATTCTCTGCAGCCTCTCTGTATAGGGCTGCCAGTTACAAACATGGGGTTTGGACCCCGTCAGTTCTCATTTAACTTTACAAGCCCTTCTTGGCCTTCACTGAGGATGATGGGAGGGTCCTCTCCTCCAGTGTCCAGGCCTGGCGCTGGGTTGTCCGAGCAAGGAGGTCCCCATTCCTCCTCCAGCAAGGAGGAGAAAGGCCCTCTATAACCATTCCTGAAGACACTCTCACAAAGATTTCATGAGAGGGTCAATATTTTTAACTAAGTTCTACAGACATGCCAAGAAAGGTTAAATGATGAGCTCAAAGTATAGGGGCAGTCAGCATCAGAAAAAATACCTATAATGCTACAGCTCCTGCTTCATGGTCTGCATGCAGGATGTCTGCTTGCTGATAAGCCTAATTGCATCCCAAAGCACACTCAGGAATCAATCTTGGTCTGTCCTAAGACACTAAAGGCCATTACATTTCCCTGCAGAGCCTTTCCCTCAACCCCAGAGTACATTACTACATTTCTTCTATAATGTTCTAAAGTGAAAGCTGGCTCTGCAAATAATTTTTTTTTTTTTCTTGGCAAGCTGTGCAATCCTGTTAATGAAATTTTGACATACCACACAGCAGTTTTATGACAGATGCTTAACAATTTCATTTTATATTCATCTTGAGCAACATTTTACATTTTAGCTTTCAGTCCAGAATATAAATTTGGGGGTGACAGTTTCATGTGAAAGAAAGAAAGAAAAAAAAAAAGTTCTTTATATAATTAACTGCCTGACTGTAAATACACTGCTTTACCTCTTCTGTTTCTTCCTGTTGTATGTTAAATAATTAAAAACTTAACATGAAGGCATGTATCTTCTTACCCCAGAGAGCCATGAAGACCGAGAAGAAGACAGTTGCAGGGTTATCAAACAGATGACTTGCACGAGCAGTCGCACAAGCGGAGCTCATCTTCCAGTAGCTGCATGTTCTGTCGCATAAGGGACACATAGTGATGTTGTTTCTCTGGTCACACATTTCCATACTACAACGAAGCAACAATATATGGAAAAAACCCAGTTAGTTCGGCTCCACCTTCCATGCTCTGATGATATTTTCTCCTTTGCACAGCAACTGTTTCTGTTCTGTAGGACCATCAGGTGGTACCCTCACAGCTTGTGCCCCAGCAAACAGCTCTGTCCGTAACCTACACCAGTGCAGGGGCTGAAATCCTCATGCAAGGCTGCTGTCTCCCTCCATCCCCAGCCCTACTTCTATTCCAGGCAGTCAGAGATAGCATTATGAGGGGCATATCTATGCTTTTTATTATAGCACCTTTCATTAAAAAAAAAAAAAAATAAAAATCATTCTTGTTTTGAAATACTAGCTACAGCAACAGATAAGGTACAAGGGAAGTATCAAGAGACTGGAGTTCAACCAATTTATCTTCTATCCACGCCATCTGTGAAACAGCAACAGTGACTCTCCCTTTGACTTTCTTCAACCTTTGGGAGCAGTACAAAGCAATCTCAATGAACGAAAAAAATATCTATTTTTTGATATCCATTATTTATTATTCAGGGCTCACGGTTGTTGGATGAACTGCATAATTTTCATCTACAACTGATGACGCATGGAGGGTAAATAATGCAAATTGACAGGGTTTTAAAAATATTATAATACAAAACTTACTCAAAAAATTTAAAATAGTAAAGATTTTGTTAATCTGGCCACAACTGCTTATTGGAAGCATGCATATTCTTGATTCATCTTTACATCACACAATGCCCTCCTCAGCATTTTATGATGGGAAGCACTAAAACCTATCATTAGAGTATTTCATAGTAAGTTTTAATGTAAGTATCTGAGTTAAGCAAAAAACCAGAACACCTGAGCCAACAGCCAAGAATTATTTTTAGTACATCAGTGCAAACTCCACAAGTAATGCTAACGAGAAATGCTAACCATTTAAAAACGTGCTGCCCACTCCCAGCCCCTGGTAGCGCTCCATCCCTTACCGGAAGCGGAAAGCAGCGGGACTGCAAGCTCCTCCATCCACCCGGATGTGTCCTCATTTTAACTATGGCTTCCAAAAGACGAGGCATGTGGGGTGTGAGGAGAGAGAGCAGCGGGAGCACGCTGTGCTCTGGCAAGCCCCATTTGGCAGACAGACCTTGGGAAGGCACGGCCAGCAAACACAGACCGGGGGTGGCGGGCTGTGGGTGGCACAGGTCAAGCTCTAGAAACTCGGAGACACAGTTTCAGCTGTGCTCACCCCAGCTATTACTGACAAAACATCTCCAGAGAAAGGTAACTTTGAGTTTCTCGTGGCCTCCAATAATAGAATCTATTTATTTATTTATTTTACCTTGGTATATTCTCATCCACGGTTGCACAGCCATATAGGAAAACGATAATCCCCACAATTGAAGCTGGAATAAGCATTTGTGTATAAACTCCCAGCCAGGCAAAATATAGTCCAATCTTCTCTCCAAAGTATTTTCTGAAATACATTAAAAATAAAGAAATGAGAGAGAGAGAAATGTTTCCTATTTCTTAAAATATAACAGGGCTAAAATTACGAATCGCAGCTGGATTAAGCATGGAGAAAGTAAGATCTGAGGACCTGTGGGAATTTTTGTCTTCTCAGAGGACTCTCTCATGATGCTTGGAGTCAATCCAGAGATACAGGCACCATGAAAGCAAGTCAGAACAACTAGTAATTTTTTCCCCTGTGCTTCTGCTGTGTAAATTGGTATCTTTGGATCTTCTGTGAAGGAATCCTCTTAAAAAAGCACCTAATTTTCTTCAGACAGCCTTAGCTCTCACCACGAGCAAAGAAAATTCATTAAAAATATGTTCTCTGCAAGCTTTCACACTAGGTGGGATACATTGGCATGTTTCTAAACCCACAGAAATGCCATTTTCTCCCAGCAAACTTTCCATTCTCCAGAGTCCCCCAGGGTGGTACAGAGGACAGTATCCCCACAAGGACACCCACAGGAGCAACCCTGTGCACAGCTTCAGCAGTGCCCTGCAGAAACACGGCATTGAGGGCTAAACTCTCACCTCACCAGGTCAATTGGCTGATATTTGTAAAAGACTCCATAGCTTGCCCACTCCTCACACAGGAGCTGTAAAACAGAAAGGCAAGGTGAAAGCTAAAGCATCGCATACACAAGTGTTTTCTCCTTTGTCCCAGCAAACTGCAGAGCTCACACCGTGGGTCTGGCCTCACCACTTTGCGGTTTCAACCCTTTAATCTGCCAATACATGCAGTCTGCATTATTGAAAACAAACGTGATGATTTGGTATGCTATAATACAGTGATGAATTCTAGTACATTAAAAGGCTCTTCAGCAACTAGACTGAGGGATAACACGTTGCCCAGAGAAGCTGTGGATGCCCCATCCCTGGAAGTGTGCAAGGCCAGGCTGGATGAGGCTTGGAGCAACCTGGTCTAGTGGAAGGTGTCCCTGCCCATGGCATGGGGTTGGAACTGGATGGGCTTTAAGGTCCCTTCCAACCCAAACCGTTCTGTGATTCTATAGCAGGGATGGGGAGTACAGTACAGTCCTAATTCTATGATCCGTAGGAGGTGTCTAGAAGAATGGAGGTGACAGATGAACATGCTTTCCGTTACAAGACAGAAAAAAACTAGAATAAACTAGTTTATTTTCACTATACAAAGTATAATACTCAGCATCCATCAAGATATGCTTTGAAGGCTGCATTTAAGAGTTTTTCAGCTTTAAACTAAAAGAACACAATGATTTCCACTCATCCTTTTGGTTAGGATACAGGCCAAGGAAAACAATGATCCCCATTAGTGATTTATAAAATTGGACCCCTCACAAAATTAGGTTCCTCTGCAACCTTCAACTTATCCTCTAGCTTGTAAAATATATAAACAGTGCTTCTCGGATCTGAAGTTTTTTTTCTTAATTCAGTTCAGCTAACAGTGTGAACAAGAAATCAGGGTGTGTACCAAAAATACTGGAGAAGTAGTCTGCTCACTGTCCACCTGGCCATCACCTCCTCTGCGGGACAAGGGGAAGAGAAGCTTTACATCTGCTTGTGAAGTCAGGTCTCCCTTTACTGCTCCTCTCCCTGCTTCAACCCAGGGACATGAACTGGGTAGAAGTATATTCCTGGACCAACTACTGATATTTCAATGAAATGCTTTGATGGTCACTTCTGCTTTCATTAATTCAAACAACATAATCTTTTTCCTTTCTCCCTTTCTGCTACTCTCTCAAATGTAAGAGCATGAACTGGTTACTGATGAGCTATTTATTTTCATCGAACATTGGATAATTAAAAAAAAAAAAAAAAGAGAACTTCAGAGCTCGGTTACACAAACCTCCTTCGGTGGGTGAGAGGCTCAAAAACCAGCTCAGCTGCAGAAGAAACTGCAATGGGGAACCCAGACCTAAACCAGTGATCATTACAGGGCGGGTAACATTATTAACCTTGTTCATAGAAGAACAGAGCAAACAGGATGTTATTGTTTAAATCTCTAGGCTCGTTTATCATGAGAAACTTGAGAGATGTCACCCTCCTACATTTTTCCAGTGAAATGCAGCAAAGCAAGGAAGGGCAGACTGGCAGTCCTGCTGCTCCCCGGACCCATTACTGCTTCTCGCATTTTATCACCAAGAAGTCATATAGCGAACATTTCTAGAGCAGTTTTGCAATTCTCCTGCCAAATCATTAACACAAACTTTCCAAGCTGAACTGCTGTACTTCTCGTGCAAATGGTTTGAGTCATTAAAAAAATACAACTTCTTTACTTTTACAGAAACACGACGTCAAAGATAGAAGTGGATTGTGTATTTTCCTCTCCACAACCCAAAATCATTAATCTTTATTAGTTCCCTTACAATAGTAAGACCAGAAACTGAAACCTAAAGGCAGGTCTTTATTAAAAAACATAATTCTTGCAACTTTTATTTTTATTCTGCTTTAGGTTTCTTTCAACCATGTTTCCAAAAGATTAAGGCCAGCTGCCTATGTCTGGGAAACAATTAACAACTCAGGACACCTCAACATCCACAGGCACTAGTTAAGACCCTTCCTTTTATTATTATTTTTTTCTTCATTTTTACAAGCTAAATTTGTGCTGGAAATTAGATTCCTTTTCTATGATCTAAGCTAGTCAGACATATCAGGAAAATGCTAAGCTAGGGAGATTTTGCATCAGTGCCATGTTTCCGTTTTGTACAACACTTCAAACCAAATTTGTGCCTTAAGTACAAATGAATTATCTCATTTATCCTGACATTTATCAGCCTAATATTCAAAGCACAGCTTCAAAGACATGATTAGAGAAGATCAGTGCACTAGCCCTAAATATTTATTTCATTTCTATGCCTCAAATCTTTAATATTCTTGTTAAAAAAAGGCACAAGCCTGGCCTAGCACTGGATTAGATTAAAGAAAACTTCAAGAAACCAGAGGAGACATGCCAAAACACACCAAAAGATTATTTGAGGGAACAGTTCATCAAAAGCCAAGGTAAATATTTCCAAACACGGAGTAAACTTGTGAAATGAGTGAATTTGTGAGGTTTGAAAAGTCAGCAATAAAGATGAGAATCCAGACGCTTTGAGAAACCATGGACTTTCACCCCATTTTTGGTTGAGCAATGTGTTGCTTAATAATGAAATGACAGGTATGTGGTATTTTTAACACAAATCAATAGACAGGGAGAAAAACAGTCACTGTCCTTTGATGAGCCATTTGCACCTTAAGGCCCAGCAGATCTTGAATTTTGGGTACCTCTTTTTATACAGCCGACTAGCGGGGCTTTGGATCTGCTTGCCCTACGACCCGAGCCCACGGTGGTCCACAGCATTTTTTCAGAGATGTGACCATGAAACAAACTGGCAAGGCAAAGTTTCAAGGCTGAAAGCCCAACATATATGGCACCCAAATTTAATAGCTCCTCCTGGGAGAACTGGTCACAACCCTCCCTACTTCAGTTTTTGTCTGGTACATGACAGAAAGCCTATCTTCTTCAGAGAAGTGTCATCAGAATATGTAGTAATTGAACTCTGAATTTAAGAAATCAACATTTCTGCAAAGGATAAAATACTTTCTTAAGAAAAGGCAAATAGTTCCTTAAAATAATTCCTACAATGAACAAATACATTTCAGTATACAGGCAATAAAACCACAACTTAAACCAGACTTAAGGTGAGTGATGCAAGCAGCAGCATACATCCACAGGCTGAACAGCACACATTAAAGCTTTGCTGAGAATGTCTCTTTTCTGATAAATGTTCAATCTTAAGCATAAACATTATTGGAAAAGGTAATGTTTTCAACCATCTCCCTCCCCCACCTCCAATTCTGATCTTCACACTCCGCATCAACAGCGCATCAATTCAGCAGAAGTTGCGGTGCAGAGACCAGAGCTTGCTGTCGAGTGAAGCACGACTTTTGTCAGATACAGACACCAGAATATGACTGAGCATATTCTCATCAGAACTGGCCTCAAATTTCATCATCTGGACTTTAGGAGGAGTTATATGTGAATGCTGTCAATACTCTTACCAACATGGCAAGAAATGTAACTTCAAGCTTTGTAATGTATATGTAACCATACTGCATTCCACATTTGGGCAAATTTAAGCGCTGGAAAGTACTTCTGTACTTGAACTGCTTGGCATTTACTGCATTTTTGTGGTATTATCTGTGAAATCTTGGCAAATGCTCAGATTCCAACAGGGGATTCTTCAGGCTGGGACTCTTGTGAATACGTTAACCCCCCCACCCTTCCCCTTTATATCAACTTACTTTTCTGTCATTAGGTTCAACGTTTTCACCTTCATAGTCACCCTTTAAAAAACAAAAAAACACGGCGTCATTCAGGGAGTTGCACCCAGAGCTGCTGTGCAACTCGCATACCCATGTATCCCACTCACTTAATGCATCAAAACCAGAAAAAGAAATCCGTAAAATAATGCTGTATTTTAGGAGTTCATTTGTCATAGCACACTTTGTCTTCTGTTGTCAGGCACATTAAGAAAGAGTAATAATGTCTGTCACTGAGGAAAAAGGAATGAATAAGTGATAAAGGTGGCCTAAAAATGTCAAGGGAAAAGATGCAGTATTGCCATGGTATTTGGGGTTCAGCTCAGTCCACTTGAAAGAGAAGAGACCAGCTGAGAGAGCTGATCCCTATCCAGACTCCAAACACTCAGGGCTGATTAGATTTGAGGTTTTAATTTGGAGCTATTTTTAAATACGATAAAGAAGTAAAGTAAGACAATAAATAACATATACGAGACTATCAGTAACTGTCTAAAGATGTGAGACAAGTACATGCAGAGAAGTTTATTTAACCTTTCTGGGTTTCTAAGTGATATCCCTGTAGTTTAAGAGTGCCTGACTTTTATGATAAACATCAGGCAGATTAAGAGGCTGTTCTGGTCTCAGGTACACTGAGATAAAATACTCACGGTTCCGTGTAAAACCAGTGCCAGTGAGGGGAGCAGAAAACTAGGAAGACACACTTCATCTTCACATATCACGCCAGAAAACCGGCACCAGGCTTGACAGCCCTTGTATGCCCACACAATCCAGTACACCGTGAGCAGCATGACTGCCACGTCCCCCTGACGTCTCTCAAGCCTTCCTGTAAGGTTCGAGCTAAGAGCGTGTGGTTGTCAGTTCTGGTTGTACCTTGAACCTCTCAGTAAAAACGTCACCAGCATCCAACTGCTGTGCGTCTCTGGGCAGGATGGGGATCCCCAGCTCAGGTGTGAGTGTCACTAAAATTCCCTACCTCCCTCTAATCCTCTCGATGAACGCTGTAGTTGAGCACACTCTTGACAACTTACTGAACTGCTCAAAAGCAAATTTCATCAGTAAAGTCTGCAGTCCCATGAAATATGTCACTTCAAATTCTTGCTTATGGTTGCCTCCAGTGGCACCCAATGACACGGACACACAGCCACTGACATCTCTGCAGTAGCAAGGGTGATGCCAGGGAGATGTGGAGGAGGGAACTAGCCTCTTGGTGCCCAGGGATAAAATGTTTCCTAGCTGGTGGGCAAGGGTAAAATGTTTCCTAGCACTGATGCCAGGGATCTTGGGAGCACGAGGTCAGAAGATAACAGAAGCATTTAGTTTGCTAAGCTACTTGAAACAACCCTACTAATGTTATACGCAAATGTCACTTATGATCATCAAAGGTAGAACAGAGGTGGGGAATTCATTAAAAGCAATCAGAGTGATGGAAACAACCTGCAGAAGTTACTGCAGGCGTGATACAAGCGAGAGGAAGTCAGGATCCGAAACACTCACGTTTGGGATGACGCCATTAATACAGAACACATTAAGGATTCTTGGTGTCAGATGGCAGACAAGTAAAGTGTATTGCAAGGCCACTTACATCATGCAAAGGATATGCAGCACTGTAAACTCCATTGGCCAGCAGACTAGTGATCCCTTGAAAAATAAAGACATAATAGTTATTTACAATTTCAAGGCTAGACAGTCTCACTTTACCATCCTTCCTGGAGATTTCCCTCAAAATAACAGCCATTTGGTCAGATAATGATTTCTCTGCCACTTCATTCCTTTCCGTGTGGTTTCATTTTCAATCATATAGGTTATTAAACATGACTCATTTTATGCAATGGAAAACTGCAGAGAGCAAAAGGAAGTCATCTATATTTGAGAATCAAGAATTAGAAGCCAATGACTTGAAATTAGTCATTAAAATAAATTACATTTTCTGAAAAGTCAGTTTGGTTTAAGGGCAAGCCTGCAGATTTGAAAGTGTGCAGCAGAAGGCTCGATCACGAGAAGAATATGGCCGGAACCGATGGCATACGGGAACACGCATACGCACGCATCATCCACACAAAGTTTTGAATTCAGATTTCAGATTGATTAGAGAAATTGAAGGGAAAGCCTTTGCGAAGACCTTGGCGTAATACTTACCATATTTACCACATTTTCGTCTTTTATTTAAAAGGGTAGTTTCCTTCTTTCTTCCCTCTCCTTTCCCTGTTTACACATCCGTTTATTAGTGACATGCATGAGGCTGAGAGCAATTAATGCTTCATCTACAAAATGTATGCAGCATAAGGGACTTTGAGGAGTACTGCCTTCCCAGGTGTGGCATCGCTCCTTCACCTGGGGCCACGCTACCAGTGGGTCGGCAGGAGTTAACGTCTAAGTTTGGAGGAGCACAACGGCGAGGAGCTCGCTGCACCTGGCTGAAGGTCACTTGGCCTGACCTGGACTTTTGAGGGCTCTAGCACATTACTTTGCTAATGTTCTTGCTGCAGCTGCTGGCACAAATATAGCTACTTCCAATTATGGATTATTACCCATGTCTGAAGGTGTCGTGTTGCCCGTGAAGATGCATTTGGGGAGCCAATGAACCAGTCTTGGGTGCTGAATCAGAGCTAAGTCAAGTACCTGTCTTTGTGCAAGGCAAGCTGATCAGTGCCAATAATAATAATAAAAATAATCCAGCCACTGGCATTGTGGAGAATTTAACAGGACTTAGAAAAAGAAAAGAAAAATTATGTGCTCCAGCGTGCTCCATGTTGCCCATCAGTTCATTGTTAACAAAAGAGTGTGAGACTGGATTTGAAGGAACAGTGACTGTGAACCAGGAAACAGCTCGCTCTAGGTTCACCGAAACATTTCTGATTGTTCTTGAAATGAGAATTTTTCAAGTTCATTAGCATGTTTGAGATACTAATCACCTGCTGGAGGAACTACTCCAGGAGTGCTCAGTATCCTGCAGTATCATTAATTTTCAAAGTCCTATTTAAGATTATACTGTACTATATAGTACAGTCTGCAAATGTTTCCATACTTCTGGCAGAAACAACTAGTGATACGACAAATTATTTTTCTAGGGCTGTGCGACCGACCGGAGAGCTACACAGTACCCTTCTACATACCAGTATTTAACAATGGAGACAGATTCACATTTTCACAAATTTGCAAAATAAGTAACAAAGACTGCAGTGTTCGCTGGGCCTTTTTCCTGCTGGGCAGAAATATTGCAGCATTATCTGTGTTTGCCCAAATCGACTCACAACCTTTGCCGGGTTGTAACCCAGCATTCCAGCGCTGGAACACAAAGGACCCGATTGAGTTATGCTGAGTATACCCATGGACAGGCTGGCCTAATGACATTTTTATTAGGTATACTGTGTGACCTTGCCAGCCTCTGGAAGAAGAATGATTCAGGAATCCTAACACTTTATTTTCCTTTAGCCTCTGCCCTATTCAACTAATCTCTAATGTGTTTCCCATTTCTGGACCAAAAAAACAAAAAAGAAAGAAAAAAATAAATCAAGTGAGTAACCAACTCCAAGGCAAGAATTCAAACTGAGCTGTATGACCTTCCCCTTTCAAGAGTACAAATACGTAATTTCCAGTGAAATGATATAGCACCAGACTCGAAAAGGGTCCTGAAAGTCACAGCTTAATTTGGATTTCCCATGCTACAGGGAAACAGTGCCTCTGTTAACACTGGCTGAACACCAACACTTAGTGTATATAAGGACTCAACAATTGTACATTGTATGTTGTTATTTCAACAGAAAAGTCAAAGCATGGAAATGATTTCTGGCATAATTATTCTTCTATTATTTGATGTATTTCTAAGCAGCTGATGAGTCAATATTGAACAGAACTACCTGTAATTCAAGTTCCCATTGTTTTATTTAACTGCTTGTAGGCAAATAAATACTACAGCAGATTCCAACAGTTATCAAACATTTTCTCCCAGGTTCATGCATTTTTTTCATCCAAATTTATTTCTATTTGTTGTCTGTTAAGAAACTTGGATATGAGGGAATTCCGCCTTCCACCTTACATAATTTGGTTTACCATAATAACGTTGGTCCCATAGTCAGGTATATACCTATCACTGATGATACATATAAAATGAAGCATATAACAGCTGAACAGGAAAAGCTGCCAACAAATCTTTAAGGTGACCTGATATGCAACTCATGTTTACCTGTATTATGAATTTAGTTCTTAGACCAGAAGCCCTAAGGCTAAAATCCTAAAACTGTGGGTTTTTTAGGCCGTGGCAGCACAGATTTCCCGCCCACTGACTTGCAACAACTGTGTTGAGGCTTAAGAAAGAGATGGGCCAGCTTTCAGTGCATGCTGCAGTCCTCGGCTGTTCCACTGGGTTAATCTCAGTTCCACTTAGGACACTGCGTCGGTCAGTCATCAGTTAAGACCATTTCACTCAAGTCAGTGAAAAGCCATCCCAGGATAAAAATGTGTGGTTACTACCTAAGGGGAATGGGCCAATCCGTAGACTTTCACTTCAATTACTGAAATTCATGCTAATACCCTCATCCACTTCAGTGACTGTAAAACTGAACCAACGTATTATCCACTGGTTTATTTCACCATCCAGTCCTGCTGCAAAGGACCTAAAAAACATCTGCAGGGCCTATAGTCTCACTTACCATTTAATTTAGAATTTAGCCTATAGATTCACATTTCAAAAAATTTCAACCAGCTACCTTAATTAAATTAAATTTCCAAATAAAACAATTATATCCACACACACCAAAACAGAGAGCAGGGGAAAAACCTAAACTCCACAGCCAGTTACAACTGGCAATTATTTTCAATACCTGAAAACGATTCTTGATCATAAAGCTAAATTAAGTTCCTTACCCATGCTGTATTTTGCTTTGGTACACGTCGTTCTTTTCAGGATTTCATAAACCTATAGAAATAAAAGAAAGGAAAGGGTTAGTTCAGATACTGCCAGTGAAAAGCACAATCTTTTTTGTGTACAGCCCAAATATTGGCAAAACCAAGATGTCGATGAAGTCATCATTCTTTAATAAAAGCCACGGTATTCAGGAGAGCAGGGCGTAAGGATTTCCATGCCAAGTTATCTGCATGAGAGAGAAGCGCTTAGCTAAATCGCCAGCTACCAAGATAATTGATTGGGGGAAACGGGGTTACATCTAAGCACTCGCGTAACAGAAACGCTATTTCTGCTCATGTCAGACATCGATCTGAGATCAGGAGCCCTCTTGTAAGCGGCCCAAGCGGTGTGCCAGGCCAGCTCTTCCCTTGCTTCCAACGGCGCGAGCTGGCTTCAACCCAAGGACCTCCGCAGAGCTTCAGGCTCGGAACGTGCAGGCAGCACACGGCCATTTATCAGAAACCAGACTAACAGAGGCTGACCTTAAAATTTCTGAGCTTGCACTGACCTCGTGGCAAAACAGATGTATTTATTTTAGGATTTATTGCATTTATTGTCAAATAACCTTTGCACATCTCAACACGCCGACCGAGTGGTCAAGCTCTCAGGCAAGGCAGGAGGCTGGCGGTGTGGGGGCAGGCAGCAGAGAAAAACCATGGGCAAAGGCACCTGCTGCCCTTGCCTGGCCTGTCTGGGGAGTCAGTTCCCTGGGGATGCTTGCTAATCCGTGTGCTAACTTGGCTGCCGCTTGTCCAACTCACAGAGGGAAGCGAGTGAGGGCATACGGGGCAAACCCTGCAGCTCCTCTGCCTGTTGTCATCTTGGAACTCCAGCGAGTTAAAGGGCTGTCATGGACAGACTTCCAGTTATATAATTTTTTTTTTTAATAAGTAAAATATCTTTGGCTTAGTTTCTACTCATCAAAGACTCACAGGGAGTGACTAGATTCCTGTTCATTTTGCAGTAGGCGGAAGAGTCAATATTTGTGCTGTGATTTAAAAACACGTATGAGAAAGGCAGGAGAGAACTTTAAGAAACAAGAATACAAAGAGAAATGCAGGCAGGATAAAATGATGCTGGGAAACATTCAATGTGTCTTGATTTAACAGCTGACTTACAGGGATTTCCAACAAAGTAACCTACTACCAGCATTATTATTATATTCCCAGTATTACTCGACTGGTTCAAAAAAACCTCCTTTCCTCCTCTTCCTCCCAGCCTCTGCTATGAGCTCCTTTGATTTCAGTCCATTTTTCACTTGTTTTCACTCTCTTGTCCTATGGTGCCATTGTCACCTTTCTCAGACAGCTTGTTGTCATGAATTTTAACTCTTCATGTGCCCCCTTAAGTTTCCTGTGCATACAAGGTTTTTAACTATATATCTAGACATATACAAGAAAGCCTACAAACAAGCTATGCTTTTTTTTCAATCTCGAGTGAAAATCAACCCATTCAGTGTTTGTCTTTTTCTTTTCCATCTCTCTGCTGCTGCATCTGCCTTCCCTGGTCAAACTCACCTAGCCCCGATAACCTGCCCTCACATCAAATCAGTGCACTTCAGGCTACCGGGGAGCTGCATCATGGGGTCCACACAATGGAATTCCAAAGCAGGAAAGGGAAGTTAGATATCTTACACCCCTTATCACCGTAGCAATAAAAGGCAGCTATAACTGTGATATAAGCTCTTTTTGAAACCACTTAGAATCCGAAAGGCTAATGTTAAATATAAGATAAAAGCAGGCTCACAGTCACATTCCAGTGCACTGATTAGCAGCAGTGGAGTGGGGCAAAGACTCCACATTATACTTTGAAGAGCGTTGCAGCAAGTGCTGCTTGGCATGGTCCCTTCCAACTGCCCTCCATGTCACATGAGCTGCCCTTTCAATTCCCCCCTTCAGTGGCTACAGAGGAGGCTACAGCTTCTCCCCCGCTCTATTTCATGTGCTGTAAGTCACACAGAAGCACTCAAATGTAGTTTGTGATATTGGATTCTGGTATTAGGCTTCATTTCTGTATGGGAACTGCAGAATTATAATTACAAGAAGAAAAGTCCCATGCTAACCCTGAAGGAGTAGAGAGACCCTGCAACATGAAAGCAGGAACCCTCAGCCCAGTCCCAGTGCTCCCCACATGTACATCACACTTGCTAGTGTAATAGGGGTGAACAGATGCATAAACACCCAGAAAAAGTTGCAGTTTTCTGTCCTTGTTGCGTTTGCTGCATGTAAACATTCACGTTAAAAAAAGATCATAAGTAATGCTAAGTGAAAATCGTAAGCCTCAACACCTTTAAAGCAATGCTAGAGAACTGTCCCCCAAAAGTATAAATAATATTCTCTGTAAATGCCCAGCTGTTTGGTTGGAATTTGTCTTGGGAGATTTTCCAGCATTTCATAAAAGGAGCAAGGTATGGTTACAAAAAGGTACACGAGTCATGGGGGTGCAGGCAGCTGGCGGCAGAACCAGCAGTAGAATCTAAATTTGTTCCTTCCCGGTGATATGCCTACTCAGAAACTGTGTCCCAGACGAACTGCGGACTAGAAAGAAGATCCAAATTATTTTCCAAAAGGCAGCAACCTGTTAGTATCAAAGGTTATTCATTACATAAGCTCAATCTGGAAATTCTTTATTTATAATTGCAATAACTGGTGTCACAGGGATCCCTGGCATTTGGTTAAGAACGGCAAACTTGCCACAGGCGCTGTACTGAAGCTGGCAAAGGGGCTATTAACACCATGATTAAGGCACTGTCCACCATGAATTATTTATATACAGTACTTACTATAGTGCTTCTTGTTTTGCTGTCAAAGAAGGAATCTCTGTCAGACAAATCAAATCTGTTAAAAGATTAGAAGGAAGCCCATTAGGTTTTAAAAATAAAAAAGCAACAGTAATTTCCTGCTCTTGTTGACCCCTTCAATATTTTCATCCTCCTGGGGATCACTCATAGCTAACATTAAAGAATAGCTTGTAAAAGCCTTGTTATAGAAGAAAGTCCATTCCTAACTCTCATATTTTAAAGAAGCCACATATACATTTCACCGATTTTATATATTTATAGGTTTTTATGCTCAGGAGATGCTCATTTTAGCTGAATTGCTGATCTGCTGGCCTTGAATTTCTCCTCATATTCTTTCTATTTTGTCTGTACCTTAAAACCTGGGAGGCCACTCTTGCCTCCCTTATTCAGCAAAGACACAGGCGGTCTCACTGAAAAAAAGTGACCACTGCAAACGGTTTAAGGCACATCCACACCTAAGCTAAGGAACATCTTCTGGGCTTTTCCTGCAAGAGCAAGAACATGTCAAGTGTCACATACACTGACTGGCCCAACCAACATATACAACTCCATCAGTGTTCTGCATCCCTTGATTAAAAACTAAAAGCCCTGTATGCCAAGTGAAGAAATCCTGCCCTAGGACTATTCGTTCCAGCTGGCACATACATAAACAGAGTCTTCAAAGCTTCTCCTCTGGGATGGTGGGTGGCCAAGGGAGAGCAAAGGCTAAGTAATCCACGGCAGTCAAAACTTTTGCTGGGCCCACCTTATGATTTTTTCCTACACCCACGTTTACAGCTATTCTTACTGATCTGAAATCGATGGCGAAACCACCCTGGACTTCATAGCATTTCCAAAGTCAAGGCCTGGTTGGCAGCACAAGTGTGAGCTGCCCATACCAGCTGAATGGAATTACTCTGAAATTTATCAACCCACATCTCTGGCTACGAATTTGACTGAGCATTTTAGTTTACATTGAAATGAGACTTTGGTAAACCACATTATAAACCTGGTTTTGCAACCTAACAGTTAATGCGTACAGTTATATAGATACGTGCCATGTACCACAACAGCAGCACAGAGACTTCACAGAGGGGCTCAACAAAGTCTCAATCTTCAACAGTGAGCCAAAACAAAACAAAAACAAAAAGGCAAACTTATGACAAAATCACAGAATCATAGAATGGTTTGGGTTGGAAGGGACCTTAAAGATCATCTAGTTCCAACCCCCCTGCCATGGGCAGGGACACCTTCCACTAGACCAGGTTGCTCCAAGCCTCATCCAGCCTGGCCTTGGACACTCCCAGGGATGGGGCATCCACAGCTTCTCTGGGCAACCTGTCCCAGTGCCTCCCCACCCTCTCCAGGAAAAACTTCTTCCTGATATCCAATCTAACCCCCCCCCCTTTCAATTTAAACCCATTCCCCCTTGTCCTGTCACTACAGGCCCTTGTAAAAAGCCCCCCCCAGCTTCCTTGTAGCCCCTTCAGGCACTGGAAGGGGCTATAAGGTCTCCCCGGAGCCTTCTCTTCTCCAGGCTGAACAAGGCCAACTCTCTCAGCCTGTCCCCAGAGCAGAGGGGCTCCAGCCCTCGGAGCATCTCCGTGGCCTCCCCTGGACTCGCTCCAAGTGGTCAATATCCTTCTGATGCTGAGGGTGGAAATATTCTTTACAGTAATCACCAACAAATTGTTGGCGTTCATTTGCCCTTTGACCTTTTGGCACCTTAGCTGCTCTCAGGAAGGCTGGAACTTGTTGACATGGACGTTTACAGAAAGCATTCACTTACAGGTGCTGTTTCTCTCTGGAAAAGGGGTAGGAGAGGCGTTTCACCGTCTGAGGCTTGTGTTCTGCTACTTTTGGCTGGATGGGCTCTGTTATTTTTTGAATTACTGAGTTGATCTTTTTCAGAAGACCATGGGTCTGATTGATCTGATACATCTGAGTGGACAAAGAGAAAAACAGTAAGGCTGTATTGTTGTTTGGCTACCCGTGACAGAATGAGCTGTAAGGAATAAACCATGAATTAAATAAATAGAATAAATTATTGGGGAGTATAGCTTACCTTCTTGAAAACATTCTGAAACACATGGATGGATGGGAAAGTCAAACCAAGGCAAGACTACTGCTTTTTCCCTGAGCCAAAGCATGGCGCATTGGTTCCAAATAATCAGATGGCGTGTTCAGTGGAGATATAGAATCATAGAATCACAGAACGGTTTGGGTTGGAAGGGACCTTAAAGATCATCCAGTTCCAACACCCCTGCCATGGGCAGGGACACCTTCCACTAGACCAGGTTGCTCCAAGCCTCATCCAGCCTGGCCTTGGACACTTCCAGGGATGGGGCGCATATACTCAGCACTGACTCCTGAGACACCCACTCCTCTGGCCTTTACTGTTTCCTTGGTGCAATCAGACAAAGAAATTATGGAGCCCCCATGAAAAACAACAGAAGTGGTCTCCTCTCCCAGGGGGCTTTCCTGGGAATATTGTGCAGGCTTCAGGAGTTTTCCTTTTTCCATATAAAGGAACCGAAATATCTTGAATCGCCTAGTGTAGTTGTGTAGCACTGAATGCAGGAAGTGTGATAGCAGGGTCAGAAAGCAGGATTACAGGCCTCCCTCTCTTAGCCACAAAAACTATGTGCAGATCCAGGGCATGGTCCCACTTTGGGAAGATGCTCAGCTGCAAACAAGGCTTTAGGAGTCTGAGGGTGTTCTCAGGCACACTCCTTCTCCACGGCAATGCCTGCAGGCTTCGGTGGCCTCTTTCACACACAGAAAAAACCCTCCACAAAATACCCACCCTGACTTTTGTGGCAAATCAGCTTTAAATGCAGGGTGACAACAGACTGTTTTTAATCTAATAGTGCTTCTGATTAAAATCAGTGGTGAGGCAATAATGGGGATTAATATGAAATTCAAACCAGAAGGTGGGTTTAGTGTTGTAATAAATGACGCTGGGCTTTGAGACTGTCTCTTGCTCCATTAGAGACCTTCCTCTGCAGTCTGGGACATGCACTTATTATGTGTTTAAATATTAATCCATCTCTAAGATATGCTCTCTGAACAGGTAGCTATCTATCACAGATGATTTAGAATTGATGAAAATACACTGTCGTTTCTTTAATGATATTTAAAATATTCTGAAAGGTAATTTATTTCGTGGTAGAGTAGCCACAACTCCTGCAACTATGTCTAACGAGGTACATGAAGAGTCACTAAACCCAGTGAGAATACTGCACACAAATTGTTACTCCTATGTTCACTTTTAGCAGTCTGGTGAGAAAAAACTCCAATACACACACATCACTTCATCATTTGCAACCTGTTCTTTTCAAACACACTGAGAGGATAAGGTATTGTATGAAATCACTCGCATCACATACAGGTAGCGGGTAGGAATTCTTAATTTCGATTCCTCCTTCCAGATATTCTCTCTGCTGTCCCAAGCAAGCAAGTTTGTGACAGTCATTTTCTGCACACAGTAGTTAACTGCTTTAGAAATGCTTGTGGGAAGAAAAGTCTACATATGTAAGGTGTTCAGAGATGAGCATATGCTTAAACTATGCCTTCCAGAGGAATGAAAGAAAAATCAGGACTCACCTTTTTTGTGGGCATTTTGAGTTTGAGAAATTCTGCCTCTCGACACAATACATTCCACGGTGCATGTATTTTTACAAATCCAACTCCATGGATTTTAGTCTAAAAAACAAGCAAGAGAAAAAGTTACTGATGAGAGGAAATTAAGAATTTTTCCCCTTGTGTTTCCTACATATTTAAGGAACAGTTTGTTACTGCCAACATCCTACATCTCATCTGAGGCAGCTAGTTTCTAACAACAGGACAATCACCGAGCACCTCTTTGTGCTGAGCTGCTATAAAATGTGACCCAAAAATGCTATTGTCTTCCAGAAGAGATACCACAAGGTTAAACAGATAAAAATTGTTTGGGAAATAAAAGCTAATGACTGTGGACACAAATACAGATTAAGCCAATTAAACTGGAGGCATAGGCATCCAGCCAAATGGTATGATTTCAAGAGTGCGGTGTAATTAATGGAGCTGAGAGATTCCCTGCTGCCTCCTAAGTATCTCAAAGGTCCAGAACTGCAGTAAGGAACGTGCAGCACCAGATACAGATGTGAGTATCTACATTAAAACACTCCGCATTTTAATTAGGAAAACTGCTAGGAAGACCTCAAGAAAAGAAAAAAAAAATGTTAGCGACAACATCAGTGGCATGCTTGCATCCCACTCATTCTCCGAGCTCTGCTCGAGATGGCTGGACACGGGGGTTTGCTTCTGGCACTCCCACCTACACCCCTATTAACTCCCATGGGAGTAACCATTTCAAAGCTATTGGACAAATGATACCAAGCTAGCAGGCATTCACCAACCAGAAGAGAAACTCTAATGAATCTTTCTGATCTTGACGAGGTATCAACTCAGGCAGTTACTGCAATAACTACCTTTCATGCAGCAAAGTTCCCCACTGGCTTTCTAGAAATCGGTTACTCAGAGGACATTAACTGCCAGCCTTCCCGTAAGGCATGGCTTCCAAACCGCCTCTGAATGTGCTTCACTGAGGAGAGTTTAAGTGACTTAGTAAACTCCATCTGTTTAAGAAACCTTTGCTTGTTTTGCAATTAGTAAGGCCTCCAGTGCAACTTCATGGCATCCTTTGCAAGCCCAGGTGATTGCAGGGTTTTCCCCCTACAATGACGTGCTGGATATGGAAGCTGACATAAACCCCTGTGGCTTGCTTTCATCTCTGCACATTCCTGATCTGCTGTTGTACCTTGCCCTGAAAGGTAAGGGGCTCTCTCTCTCTTTTATGGCGTCCTGACTTGAAGCCTGAGCCCTTCTGCATCACCTGAAATCCTATCACATGTCATAGGTGGGGACGTCCCATCTTGCCAAGGATTTCGGTGTCTGTGACTTGGCACAGGCAAGCTTTCGGTTCACTACAACAACTTGCAAGTTTGATGGGAAGCAAGTCTTACTTTCACCCGGGGGACAGAGAAGTGAAAGTTTTTTTGCATTATACCATTAAAAATATTTTATTTATATATATCTCATTATGTACATGCCTGTAATCTGTAAATAATAGGTGGCAGATTTACTTTTTTAACACTGATCACAGGTCTAGATGCTTAATCTCAACTTTTAGATCCTATAAATAAACCCAGCGTCAATGTTTACCCTCTCCCACAGGAGTTTCAGGCATATTGGTTGGATCAGTTAATTGTAATAGCTTTCTTTGAAATTAATATGGCTGTGCCTATTTCTACTAATCACACACTGGCAGTACTTCACACACATCATTTTTTATATAGTCTAATGGTCTTTTAATAGAATACACTGTTTTCAGGGTACAGGTGAAAGGCGTTACAAGCTGTACTGTTCGCATCTAAGAATGGAAAGAGCAGACTGTAATGCAGACCCACGCACTCAAGCTAGAGCATGTACCAGAACCTCCCGAACACATTTAAATCTCTTGAAGTCTATACTGAGGTATAAAAATGCCACTGTCAGTATCGGGTATTTTTCATCAGAACTGGAATTACCAGTGGATCCAAAGCACAGCATACTGTAAACCCACCAAACTGGGATTAGTGTTCAGGGCAATTTAAGCCTCACTTCTAGATATGGCAACACATCAATAAGCTGTGTTGCAATAGTGGATGTGCCACAAGTCCCGGCCAAGAAAAGTAAGAAACTTCATCTCACTGGGGCATTAACAACACCACAGCCCATTCCTGTGAAGTGAACTAAACCAGTGGGCGAGGATGGCACTGCCAGAACTGAAATCAAATTCTGAAGAGTTGAGCTTGTGTAACCTTGAGCAGAGACAGGTTCACAGGAACAGATCAGCATCTCCCAGGATGCAATCACCAGTTAAGCTCCGTATCTTTAATGGTCTGAAATGGCTCCTTACATCCTCATCGCGTTCCAGTTCCAGACCAGCCTCCACGAGGTTCCCTTCATACTCCTCCCTGCGAAATCTCTTGTCGTCTTCATGGTAATCCACGTGAGGTTCACCTTCCCCCATTTCCAGCTGCACTCCTTTCCCAGGAAGCGGCTGGTCCTGCTTGGTGCTTCGGGCACTTGAATCATTGTGATGAACTCTCCTGGTGAGTGTCCTCCCTGCCGAGGACTTCTTGTAATGATAAACGAGGATGTAGTCTACTTTTCTCTTGCCATCTCGGAAGTAGAGTCCGTATTTGCAGTCAGCATCTGGATTTTTGGACAGGGAATTTAATAACTGGAAGCAGGGAATGGGGGCGTGGAGAGAAGGAGAGAGAAGAATAATGAGCACACACACCAACACGGACACCAGACAGACCATATCCTTGTATCAAGGACTCCTTCTTGCCTGGAGCACACAACGACCCATCTTCAAACAGAATACATATGGGAGCACTCCCCACCCCCCCATGCTATTTGCTCGAAACAATTTCGCAAGTTAACACCTGCAATTTTACTGATAGGCAGCTGGGATTTTATTGGCCAGAGATAAATAGCTCAAATAACTGGGATTTAATCTCATTACCAGCACACTAGCTTGTAAGTCAGCTACTTGGTGGATTTGGTTTTCTCCTTTGGGGGTTAATCACCACTAAGATCATCTGTCCTTTTCCACCCAAGACATCTGCATTTCAATTCTGACAAACAGATTAATATCCTGTGCAAACATTTCTCACTTCTCTTATCTATGGTTGCAAGTTTGTATCATCTGAGAAAGAGATCATCTTAGATACAGACTGAAGGGAGCCAGCTGGCCATGAAGTCCGGCCAAAAATGCGGATGGGCCGTAGCCAGGGAAGTGGGTTCACTGCTTACTGAGTTCATCACTTTTTTTTTCCCCGCTTATAAAACCTACGTTGCTTTGCAAACGGATAGGGGCAAAGGCTTCATTCCCGTCTTGAATCAACACTGCGTAAGTGTTGCATGACACATAAGCCTTAAAACACAATTCCATTTCCAAGCATCTATCTGAAAAACCGCGTAGGAACGTACAGGGAAGTGGGTTCACTGCTTACTGAGTTCATCACTTTTTTTTTCCCCGCTTATAAAACCTACGTTGCTTTGCAAACGGATAGGGGCAAAGGCTTCATTCCCGTCTTGAATCAACACTGCGTAAGTGTTGCATGACACATAAGCCTTAAAACACAATTCCATTTCCAAGCATCTATCTGAAAAACCGCGTAGGAACGTACAAAGTACTAACAACTAATCTTGCTTGCACCAGCACTTCTGCATAATTCACAATTCTATCCTTGGATGCACAGACCACTTAAATAAAATGAAAATTCATTACTAACTCGCATTTGTTTTTACAAAAAACACTCATCACAGGAGTGGTTTTTCAGGGACCAGGGACATTTTCTGGATTTTAATTTTACAGAAGAATGTTAAGCTTCCACATGGGAAGAAGGACTTGCACTCCAAATGACAGCGGTTTGCCATCGGTCGTAAACCATACCAGTCCAAATCCATTTGGCATGTGTGTACTTTCTGCTTGTTTCATACATAAAACGGTGAGCTATTTGCAAACAGTTGTTTCTAAGTCCAATTTTTAAAACCCAGGCGAAAAGAGCAAGCTCTGAGCTTACTATACAGTGTATCACAGACAATACAGCCAAAACTTCACTGAAACGCACTCAATGTTACGCAGATTTTGCACGCTTCTCTGAACGTTGTTTTGGAGAAGGCAGGTCCCAGCTACCATAACTATAAACCAATGTCTTTAAGGGACAGCCTGTTCTTCCCTTTTTGCCTCAGGGAGATTTTTACTCCCATCTTCCTGCGTTTGGAGGGAGGAGGAAGCACATGAAGAAGTAATGGAACAAGTGTGATCAGCTGATAGCAGTAACACAGAGCAAGGAGGACCGGCAGACAGCAAGAAGCGGAGATGCCAGGCAGCACACGGGGCAGCCGTCTGCTGAGGTGGGGATGCCCGATTGCTTTCTGAGGCCTGACCTGACCATGTCTGCCCAGGGCCAGGTTGGCTGCAGGTCCTCGTCTCCCCAGTCCCTCACAGCTTTGCTCCATACCTGCCTTTGCCATCTGTTTCGCTCTCCTTTTTTTTCAGGATCCAATCTCTCTTTTCCATTTAACCTAAACCCTTTGTTCCAAAAATATAAATACGTCATAAAATAATATAGTATTTGCTGCCACCATGGAGTTCACTCTTTCACCTGCTCCACGTCTGTCTTATTTAGCCATGACCATAACACATTTTTCAGGGCACAGGATGCTCGTGTTTGTGCCCAATCTAGACATTCCTATTTCTTAAGTATAATTACAGTACGGAACACCACTAATAACTATTACTTTCTTATTCATTCATGTTTAATGGCACACACCCGTGAATTCAAAATGTTTTTTCAAAGCAAGCTAATGGTTTGCTTGTGGCAAGCAACTCAGTTATGCAAACTTCCACAGAAGCACATTATTAAGAAATAGTAACTAACTGGATTTTCAGGCTATAATGCCTCTTCAGATTAAATGGTTGTTTTAAACAAGACACAGGAACACTGGGACTTCTTTCAAGGTACCTAATTCCATTTAATTTTTAAAGATTTGTTGATCTTATTAATTAATTAGACATCAATTTCTGAAAAAGTGGCAAGAGCTGACAGACATTCAGGTAAGTGCAGGGAGTTAAAACAGAAAGACTCAGACCCAAACCACTTCCTTCCCCCTTTGGACTTTATAAGGGGCAGCATTTAGTTGGTCTGTTCTGGAGACCAAAGAAAATGGGCAGGACTGAAGATGACTTTTAAGGATGAAAGCAGGGAGTGTGCCAGATGTTTCTAACTGCTTGGGGAGCTCAGGAGAGATCAGTACATCCTGAACACAGCTCCTCTTTTCCTGGAGCACAACTTGGGTGGACAAAAGTGGCACTGAAAATCCCTAGTTTCTTTGTTTCTTTGAGTCACTGTCACCGGGAAGGGGACAAGTCACACTGCAGAAACTGAATGAGAGCTTCTTCCCATTCTTTGAACTTTCCTGTTGAAAAGCTGACTCACTGATAATTTGGGAAAAGGTGCTGCACTGTGGATACCAATGCCTCAATAAATTTGCATCAAAAGCAGCATCAAAAGAAGGTGAGGGAGGGGATTCTATTCTGCTCTTGTGAAAGCCCAGCTGGAGTTCTATGTCCAGCTCTGGGGTCCCCAAAATCAGAAGGATATAGCCCAGTTGGAGGAGTGAGTCCAGAGGAGGTCACGGAGATGCTCCGAGGGCTGGAGCCCCTCTGCTCTGGGGACAGGCTGGGAGAGTTGGGCTTGTTCAGCCTGGAGAAGAGAAGGCTCCGGGGAGACCTTATAGCACCTTCCAGTGCCTGAAGGGGCTACAAGGAAGCTGGGGGGGACTTTTTACAAGGGCCTGTAGTGACAGGACAAGGGGTAACGGGTTTAAATTGAAAGTGGGGAGGTTTAGATTAGATATCAGGAAGAAGTTCTTCCTGGAGAGGGTGGTGAGACGCTGGGACAGGTTGCCCAGAGAAGCTGTGGATGCCCCATCCCTGGGAGTGTCCAAGGCCAGGCTGGATGAGGCTTGGAGCAACCTGGTCTAGTGGAAGGGGTCCCTGCCCATGGCAGGGGGGGTGGAACTGGATGATCTTTAAGGTCCCTTCCAACCCCAACCATTCTGTGATTCTATGAAATTTATTAATATATGAGAATAGCTATATCCACTGCTAAAGGGGCGCAGCCAAAGACTCAAAGCAGCCTGATGGTCCTGTTTTAAAGAAATAAATTATTAGATTCTTTTAAGGATGCAGTATTAATGCTGAAAGGTACTAATAGGCCACATTTCTTACTTGCAGTGCTGCTATGCTGAAACAGAGAAAGCGCTACATTGACTTAGACTCATGTCCCTTCAGTTGCAAATGACACACAAAAGACATTTCAGTTTTACCACAGCAGTAGGGTTGTTTAGACTCTGACAGAATTATTCCTCCATGCTCCATCCCATCTAAGCACAAGCACAGTGAATCAAGTAGTGCTTTTTTTTGTCCATCCTTCCCTAGCAAGATCTGCTATATAGCCCACTCCACCTCGATTCTTTCACCTAAATAAACTCCTTTTTATGCATTTATGACATAACCAACTCCTAATCCTTTTGGGTATTCATATTATCAACTTCCTTTAAACCAGTGTTAAAGAATTTCACCAAGGCACAGTTAATGACACTGGAAATCTAACCTCTACAATGTGCTACAGAATATTAATTTAACGTTACCTACGTTAACAATAGTTTCCATGTGAAATTTTATACATTATTTTCCCTTCTACTCTACACGGGCAAAGAGATTTTAAGGTTGCCACAGCCTTACAGCCAGATTGATTACTCTGAGAACAGCCAACCCCTTTTTATGCTACAGGTTAAACAAGGATCCCTTGCTTCCCTTCTTCACATTAAAGAACAAACCCCACTACGTTAGCATGTACTGTGGCTGGTGGCAATCCTCCTCAGCACCTGTAGGAAAGCCGGGGAAAAGGATTTCAGAGCATCCTGGGAATGGAAAGAATGAAAAATAAGCTAAGGGGTAAAGCGTAGTACGTCAGTTATGAGACATCTGGCAAGTCCTTTACTCACTGTACTCTCATGCTGGTCATATCCTATATCCTCAATAGCTCGGATGTTGATAATGTGGATCCCCTTCTCCTCAGCAGGTAGGCAGGAGTATTTCTTGTTCATCCTCATTCCTGTCTCCTCCGGAGCCTCGTTGAGATCTTCTGGAAGAAAATCCACCCCATGAAACTCACTGTCTGCATCTGAAAAGGAACAATTTCATCAAGACGCTTTAATCCCAACCAACATTTGCTCCTCCCAGAGCCACCCAAGCTGAAACATATCCTGTTCCTGCCTTCTTCTGCCAACGAGCCCTTGTGCAGGACTCCCACCCTCCTCTGTGCCTCCCTTCTCAGCTTTCCCACAGCCCTCTTCAGCCCTACCTAGGTCTCCTCCTCCGGAAGAGTGCTCAGTTAACTCCTTTTCTGCACTGCTGTCTCAGGATATGTTTACTCTAAGGTCCCATAGAATGACTGCATTTCTTGGCAAGCGAAAGGAAAAAATGGTGAAGAAAAATAGTCTGAGAATTAGCTGGTGATGATAGGTTGCATGGTGCTTTCCCCTTTTCAGCAGGCATTTTTTCCTTCAACAAGCACTTGTCCATGCTGAAAAACTACGTAGGTACTTGAAGGGAAACCCACTATGTGCTGCATCTGATATACTGAACCATTTTTATTTAAGTAGTCTTGAAAATCTGAGGGTTTGTTCCCCACAACCTGCCAGACACCTGTATTGTTTTCACTTATTATTTAAGTATATAGATGGGCTAAGGAATTCCATGTAAAAATTTCACAACAAACTAGGCAATCAGGTAACTGATAAAATGCAAACTAGCGTTTGCATATGTGCATTATGCAAGCAATATAAGGCAAAGTTTTCCAAGATTTGATTAACTTTGACATTGCAGTAAAATACTGCAGCATTATGCCTTCTTTTGAACCACACAGGAGCAGGATTTGCTTGTCTAAAGAGTGAAGGTAAATCAAGAATTTTAGAATTTAGCCTTGACTGGACACTAACTCTCCCCCCAAAAAAGACAACAAACGTGCAGAGGAGCACACTCTCATAGCAGCTATATTACAACAGTCTGTTTCTGCAGCCAGTTCAACACTGTCTATGGTGCAGATAGCAGCAGAAATTGTACAGAATTAGCCCATTAGGAAAAATACTTCCCTCATACCTAGAGTTGCCACTATGCTTATGATGAGGTGAGGATAGATACCACATTTTTAATTAGCTGTTTCTTAGCCTAAGAGCATGTTACTCCTCTTCAGCACACTACCCATCTGGATTTGGTTGAATTTCAGGGAAGGAAGAGACAAGGAAAACCTCATTCCCTAACAAGTTTGCAGATGACATGAAACTGAGGAGCACCGCTGATAAACTGGAGCGTAAGAAGAAGGCGGCGGCGGCAAACAATGGGGTCCCATTCTTGCCTTCAGCTGCCTACTGAGTAGGTACAAATCTGACAGAGCCAGATTATTCTCAGAGGTGCACAGCAACAGGATGGGAGGCTACAGAAACAAGTTGCAAAAATGGAAATTATGACCAGACATTTAAAAAACCCCCTTAATTCTTTAACAGCGAGGGTGATCGCATGATGAGGAAAGGGCCCAGTGAAGCCACAAATCTTCATCCAACCCTGGAGATGGTCAGAGCTTGACTGCACAGGGCCCTAACCAACCTCCCAACTTAAATATTGGGAGGGCACTGCATGAAGTGGCAACCCAAGTTCTTCATGACGACATGCAGGAGTTAGCATGGACAACAACCTGCAGCAGCAGAGGAGTTAGGTGTGGCCAAAGCCTTGGGACATTTTTTGAGCTTATCAGAATAAGATAAACATTATTAGTATGAGTCATGCTTCTCTGGAACTGGCAAACACCGTGAGTTTGTGGATCTTCATTTAAGTTCCTGTAGCTGGGAAATTTGCTGTCCCAAGTGACTCTCCACAAGCTGCCTGCTGTTTCAGGACTGCAGCGTCCATTAACACCACCACCTTCGCATAAAATCTGGGCAGCAAATATCTTCACATATTTCATGTGGACAGCATGCAATGCCCACGTCTCTGCAGATCTGCCCCGCTGTTCTTGTTTTTTCTTTAAAATTCTCAGGTAGTTACCTCCGAAAACATGCCACACTTGGGATGTTGGCGCAGCATCCTCAAAAATCAGTAAATCACTTGAATAACAATTTGTAGTAGCTAAAGAAGCTTTTTACAGGGTGATATAGAGATGCAGCCAAAAAATCAGGTGTTTTGTGGGAGCGACCAGCATTTTTTTCCCTACACACGTATGATCTCTTTTTCCCAACACACACACACGCATGTACATACACACACCCAGAACACATTGGAATTGATAGAAATGTGATCAGCTGCAGAGTCCTAGGTACTCAAGCTTTTATTCTGTAGCTGTAAAATACTCATATAATAATACAACAATTTTTGGAACATCAAAAGCATAAGAACCTGAGTTTTTATTTGGAAGAACGCCTGATAGAACTTCCTAGAAAAAGTAGTTTAAGTGCTGAAAAATTCCACTCTCCTTTTTCCTCCTTTCACAAACGTACTAAATAAAACCTAGTTACTTCAGCAGGTTACAGAGGACATTAGAAGAGAAGCACCTTTTAGTGACTATGAATCTGAATATTTCGTATATCTCATAATGGACCTGTGAACTGAAAAGCACCAGTTTAGAAATCACATTTAGGGTGAAACATCTTTAGAGCAGAAAATCACAAGCTTCATTGAGTCCAAACAAGCTCCCTGTGCTCTCGAGCTGCACTTCTGAGCAGCATTTGTAAAGTCCACAGTACAGAGCAAGGAGACCTGCTCAAATGATTCAGTACTATTGTGCAAGCCTGAACAATCACCCACCCGCAAGTGTATATTTACATTTCTGTTTACACATCAGTAGCCTGGTGATATCGGAAAGAACAAATACTTAAGGTAGGCAATGAATCATACACTTCTGGTTTATTATGACTACTGGAAAAGACGTGAAATGTGAGAACTTTATTGGTATAATCGTAATTGCAACAAGTTTGATTTCTGTACTTAAAGGTGATGTCAGGATTTAATACTAAGTAAAGCCATCCAAACCCCTTTGGTAATTACAAATGCACAGGGATTATAACTAGTTATGCTGATTTGGCAGAGGTCAAAGCATGCTGTTACGGAACACAAAGCATCTTTCTATATAGAATAGAGACTTTAAAATAGAGATTTTAAAGACTTAAACCCATGAATCCTATTTTGTTTTAATCGTATTAAACAAGGACAATAATTTAATCTCAAAACAAATTCATGTTTGGAATTATTTATGGCAAGATAGTAGATGTAATATGAAGAGCACAAAGCACATTAAGGTCCTAATTCAGCTAGAGTCACATTTTCATCTCTTTGTTGGGAGCTGAAAGAGTATTGTGCAAATTGCTAGCTTTGCTGCCGTCTAACACTGCCTAACCCACACTCTTCTAATGGCTAATCAGAAAACACTACCACAAAGACCTGAAGAAGTGCTCAAGGTATTTCAACACCACCATATAACCAGTCAGCCCTTTTTCCTCTGTACCCACACCTGATGTTGTTCAGAAACCCATGGATTTCAAGAGAGCAGAAGTTCCTAATATTCCTGGAACACAGCCTCAGACCCACACGATGCTCCTTTTACACTTTATTATGTACTGCTTTGTTATTTCCCAGTATTTGCTGCAAACCACAGCCAAGAATACAATATAGAATGATGTACTTTGAAGTGCTCCTTGTCTGTCTCAAAACACCCACATTCTGTAAGAGTGAAGAATGCTGAAAAGCATTTGATACCGATTTCAGTTTCATCCATGAACCAGGCTTGAGAAAGTATTTGGTGACTTCAGGCGTGTGAAGAATTTCTACCTTCCTTAGAACAGGCGCTGCCAGGTAATTGCTGTATTTGCTGTCACCCTGTAACCCTGTGTTTTCCACAGCTGGTCTGAAAGAACAGGCTTTTAGCCAGCGCTTGTGTTTAGGAAGAGCTCCGTAGGGTACATGACCATACACATATCTTAACAGCCGTCTCTTTTTTTGTTAGGAGTGAGGTATCATGGGAGAGCAAGAAAAAGAAGACACAGAAACAGATGTTTGCAGCAGCTCTCAAGCTGCCGTTCTGCTCTCTGTGGGACTTTTCCCCAGAGATGTTGGATGTTGTGGATTACACTGAGCAACCACCTGCAGTTTGGAGCACCAGGATGCTACCACGACCTTGCGAACGGTGGAGAAGTTGAAAATAGCCTCTCTGAAATGATGTTTTTGTAAGATGCATCAGGTACAATAAGCTCTGTGCCATTTCCAGTGCAAAACCAGCAAGCACTATATTCATCCAAAGCAGGTAAGAAAACCAGCAAGCACTATATTCATCCGAAGCAGATAAACCTATATGAATCACAGAGATGAGAGCATGAGGACAGAAACTGGTGAATGAAAAGACCAGAAGGGACAAGTGCATTGTAACGGTAACGAGGGTTTGTGCACGTTTTCTGTCTTTGCACCAGTTGCTTCTCCCCTGACTCTCCAATGAGTCTCTCACCCTGAGCAATATGGGCAACAAGATTAAATTAATAAAAAATGCCTCCAATCTGCAAACATCTGCTCCTTGGTTCAAACTTCAGCTGCTGCTGTAAAATTAGTCGAACACTTCTTGCAAAAAATTAGCTGGAGTTACTTAATGATAAATTTTCCACCGCAGAGAATTGGCAGATCATGCTCTCACCTTTACTCATTTAGACAATGCTTCTTCATTGCACTTTGGTGACCAGGTGAACCAGAACTGAAAATCTGCTCTAGAAATGGGTATAGTTTCTCCATTACTAGCCTCAGACTCAATCTACTACTTTATTAACATTATAGTCATAATCACATATAACCACTGGATATCTCAGGCAAAAACTATTTTTTTTAATCAAAATAAATGGAAAATTGCATTCACAGAAGGCAGATTTTACAGAAACATCCCACGCCAGTTCTAAAACGAGCATCATCAAGTCAGCATGAGTATATATAAACAAACGAACAACTATTTCACTGCTCAGCCTGAAAACAATAACTTCACAGAAGCTGGCTTCTCCTATCTCCCCTTGTCGTCTTTTTTAGG